TAAGTTATTATGGAAGATAATTAAGAATCATTGTTATTATAGTACTTAGGAAAATTTACTCATTATCATTTTATATCCTTCACACTCCTGAATACCCTACTTTTAAAAAAAATGGCTCATGTCTAACGATGCTATCATCGAGTAAATGACAGTATTAACTTATATATATTTTTTTTTTTAAATTTCCGCTTCTTAAAATTTTTTAATTCGTTTATAAAAATGGGAAAATGATAATACGTTTTTAGATAAATTTTCCGTTAATAATTAAAATTTTATAAACAAAGCCGATTGGCTAATTTGAAATTTTTATTTAAATTTCAAACCAGCCAATCATTTTTGAGTATAGCCCGTCATTTTTGATTCGTTTTTCTTAAATAACTATTATTTAACGTAACGAAACGGAAAATTTGGAAATTGAAATGATCCAATGAGCTTCGAGTATGCCCGGCGTTTAACGTTCGATGTCGTTAATGGAACTTAGTGATATCAATGGTAGGTTTGTGGCTTGGTTTCGACCTAGAAAATAGCTTGCGGATAGAGGTCGAGAACTGGACATAGAAAAATCTCAGTTGATTTCTATCACGTGTGATCGAAAATGCGGTCACGCAAATCGGCAAAGAGGGTAAAAAGCTCAGATGGCTGTTAGAAGTGTTTGCTTTTCGGAGACATCCTCTCTTCTCCACTCTAAAAAAATAAAAAAATATATATATATAAACGAAAAAAGGAGGGAGAGAGGAAAAAAGGGACTAAAACGGGACTTCTGTATCCATTACCTTTCTGTTTACTTGTCTCATACGGGTGGCTTATTTCTGCTTCGTGAACGGCGATGTCACGGGTGTCTTCCCCAACTCTTTTCACATTTTGCTTCCATTTTTTTTCTTTTTTTTAATTTCTTTTACTTTCAGCTAATTTAGTTCAATCGTTAATCATAATTTAAATTGGGATGACAAAATTACTGTCTAAATTATTACGTCATTAATTTAATTATTTGCCATTGATTCGCCAGCTTATTAAAATTTATGGCTTGCCAAACGATTCCAAATAATAAAACTTTTCTCTCCCTTTCTCTCGTTCTCTCTTACTGGAATTTGTTTGACAAACGATTCAAACTTAAAATTAAACCGTGATTGGTTCGTTACGAGCAGGAAATTGTTCTTGATTGGTTCGTTTCCTGTTTAAAATTCGTGACTTGGAAAATAACTGTTAAAGTTTTATTGAACTATTTAATTTTGAACATATATATATTTAATTTTCATTGATTAATAATTATCATTGCAAATATGCATATGTAAAGTATATAAAACTTTAATTAATTGTAACTAACGAGTCTTTGAAGTGTCTTTGTTGGCACTTTAAGTGTTTGAATCACGCAAGACTTTTTAGTAACATAGATTCTACTAAACTAGTGATTCTTAATTTTTTTGGGCTAGTGGCATACAGTTTTTGGGATCGCATCAAAATATGCCCTTACATGTTTAAACGAAACGTGATGTTAAAGGTCTGTAGTGTTATATATATATAGTATTAGAGTAAAAACTATCATTTTAAAATAACTTTTTGATATTTTGTGGCGCTCTTATGAGACGTTCGTGGCACACCGGCTGAGAATCATTGCAGAGTAAATCATACCTTTGGCACGATTACCTTCTTTCAATAATAAATTTCCATTTTAAATAAATAAATAAAAATAAAATCTGCAGTTTATGGTTGAACGAGCAGCTCGGATTTTTATCAGTTTTGAACGTATATATGTAGAATTTTTTTTTAATTTTCAAGATTTAAATCGTTCAAATTAATTTGTCATGTGTTTCTCATTCTCGTTTTTAAGTTGGAAAACTACTTTTATTACTTATTCATATAGTAATAATAAAAATCCGGCAGTGCGTGAAATCGTCTTTATGATTTTCGAATATAGCCATACGTTTACTTTTGCTTATTGCACAAACGTCGAGCACTTAATCATTCTGATTTGAGTTGCTATCGGACGTCGCAAATATGGAGGGAGGGTTGGAAAGAAGGAAAAAATTGAGGGAAAAGGGTGAAAGTTATGGAAAGTAAAAACGGCGATTTTTAAAATATTCATCCGAATAACCAATTTCCAACGGTAAAGCCCATTACTTCATACTTGGCTCGACGCTGCTTTAATGAAATATCGCGTGTACGCCTTTCATTCCACCTTATCGCCTTTGACATCCAATCAAACAAGAATGTCATAATCACGTAATCACTTATCCTATTGGTTATTATTGTAGGCAATGACGTGAGTATGAAAACGGTATCATTTAAAGACAAGTTTAATAAGAATATTATCCACAATGCGCGGGGAGGAGGAAACGAGGGCAGTTGGGGAGGGTGTGGAGGGGGAGAAAAATCGCAAAACGTTCACTTTAGTGCCGGAGCCGGCCGCCCAGAGCGCTGCGATCGGCTCGAAATGAAGTAGAGAGAGAGAGGGGGTTAGCCCGTTCGTTTATTGCCGGCTACAATAGCCTGGCTCTCAATCATCTCGGACCCTTTCGAAATTAAACAGAGCGTCACCCGGCAACGCTAGACTGAAGCGGGCGGGGGTGCGGCAGGCGGAAGGGGGGTGAAGATGATTAAAGGCGGCGGAAGTATTCGCCATCGTGCGCACCTAGAGTGAAGCGGCTTTTGAGAAGCGGAGTGCGACAAATTGAAAGCAAATAATAATGCATCGTCGGTGCAGAGTAATTAGCGGGAAATTGCAAATGCGGGACAAGGTGCCAAATATTAATTTAAGTCGAAACGCTCTAGTGAAAAGGGGGAGTTTGGGGATACGAAAATGGGGGGGCGAGAAAACGTCCCTATTCATAGCGCGCATTTTAGCATCTTTTTGATGGGGATAGTTTTATGCCATTGCAAAATATCGGGTTCGTTAGCGAGTCGGGTGTGTTAAGCTTCGGGCGTTTGATATCCAAAAACTTAAAAGTCGTACGACGCGAAGTAGAAGGAAGGAGGGAAAAAAATTCTTGTAACTCCTTGGATTTCCTGCAAATTAGAAATTGGCTTGAAGCATTTTGTTGGAACTAACTAGATTTTTTAAAGTTTTTCGTTGTTTTTCAGCATGCCGTGTTGTTCTTACTTGATTAAGTTGTTCTTTATGTAGTTCGTGTTTGTTATTCATCCGCCTTCTTTGTAATGGAGATGGAAGAAATGAACCGGATGCAAAGAGATCCATAGATGAATTTCGTACCAAAAATTTTAATTAAGTAGCAATATATGGGGATTTATGGATAGGTCAATTTTGGATCAATTCTCATTCGAAATTACAATTTGTTTGCAACAATTGTAAATTGTTAAACTGAAATTAAATTTTAAGAGGGAAATGAGATTTTAGAGCCACTAACTGAAATTTAAATTGGTATTTCCGTAAATTATTTAATAAATTGCATTGTGCCAAAAATGGTTTAATCAATTAAAACTTAATCACTAAAATTATCCGAATTATTTCGGGTTAACTGAGTTTATAATTGGATCATTGTTTTGGTGTGATTAAATTATATTTGCAATAATTATTTTCTGCGCCACAATATTACATATTCAAATTACTTCATAGTATTATACGTAAAAATTCTTTTTGAATGCGTTAATTGTTGGATGATGATGAATATTAACTTATATCTGCATATTCATTAATTAAATAATTACAACTCGTTCTTATTTGGTAATATTCAGAATATTCAATATTTCTAAATTTGTACGCTATTCGTATTAATGTTTATTCAAGAGTTTTGTTAGATAAACCACAAAGAATCTCAAACTCCAATTTATTCACAATATACGGAAAAAATCTCAATTCTTTGAATGTAAAATTTTAATTTTAAAATTTATAATTCTAAAATTAAATTCCTAATTTTATGTTCTATTACCTCTTAAGTATGTGTCTTCGTTTGAATTTATCAAATATTCTCTTTAATTTTGTTAATGTTGCAGAAGTTGAAAAACATCAATAATAATAAATCATTCGAAATAAGAAATAAGTTATATTGTATTTTAAAAAGTAGCTTTGAATATATTTTTTAAAAATTTTAAAATAGGTACTAGATTTTTATTCCATTGAAAAAGTCTAAAGATTTGAAAATTATTGCTTGAAAAAAAATAGAAAAAATGGGCTGCTTAGATAGTACCAAAATAATATCATTTGACCTCAGAAGCAGATAACCTTTTTCCACAAAAGACCAGGAGAATGCTTAACTTAACCACAAGTCCAACAAAACTTTTTCTGATGTAACATTGTTATTTCTTTCTTCGGATCCAAAATTCAATTTTCAGATAACTTCCCATCCGCCATGTTGATTTCTCCAATGTCTTTTGCCCAAATGCAACAGTTAAGTCGATTTATAAGTCGAACCTCACTCATCCCTAAAGCTTCTTTGCCTAAAGTGCATATAGACTTTTTTACCATTTTTTCCGGCATACATATTTTATAAATTGTTAGATAATCACTTTATATGTATATATACTTTTTTACCTCCATCTTAATTTGCGTCTGTTTTTGAATCACTTTGATGATTGGTATAGTACCTTTTTTTTAATATCTCTGCCAACAAATAAAATAATAATATTTTCTTTTAATATAAAACTAAAAGTATTAATTAAAATTTTGAAGTGAAAAAAAAATTCAAAATTAATTATCTTCGCTTCATCCGAATAATAACAATTTTTCGCCATGTTAATGAGTTGGGATGATGAACCGCCATTATCGCTTATTCTCTGTAATTAGTGACGTCACATCCGTAGACGGATCTTTTGATATCGACTCTCTGTAGGAAATTTATAATTAATGAAGTTTTAAAATTAATCTTCATTATTGTGAGTTAAGAGAATTACCTTTTGCTGTCTCGCACATTTTCGTTTTAATGGAAGATATATAATAAGATATAATACATTTTAACGTTACGAAATTTATGTTCTGCGCGTTTTTATCGTTCGCTGCAACGTTGCAATTGTGATTTATATTAAATTTTGTATCCGTCTCTTTCTAGGTTGTTCGGAAATACGGGAGCATGTAGCGCATGTGGCCAGATGATCCCTGCCAGCGAATTCGTCATGAGAGCTCAGAACAACGTTTACCATCTAAAATGTTTTGCCTGCGTCAAGTGTCACAATCAACTGGTGCCAGGTGATCGTTATAATTTAGTTAACGGTTCAGTATTATGCGAACAGGACTGCCTGAAAATGCTTAAAGGCACAACCAGTCCAGCAGGAGTGAGGAAGAACAGCAAAGTCCGTGTTGGTTCTGCCATAAAAGTGTGACCAACCTGTATAGAGTCTAACCCTTAAAGAGAGAGAAAAAAAACCTCCCAAAAAACAAAACAAATAAAAACTATAAACAATTTTTTCGGGTTGGTTTAAATCATCTTTTGTCCCATTTCCTCAACCCCATCTGCTCACTTGCTCACCATGAATCGGATTTAAAAAATATACAATAAAAAAAAACTTTTTTGATGGATCGAGTTATATGTAACGAGGTGTAAGAAGTGTGCACTTCTCTATTAAAAAAAAAAGAAAAATTGCATTTTTCCCCCTCAATAATTGAGGTTAAACAGTATATAAATATGAACGAAAAACCAATTTTTTTGATTGACTCCCTCAAAATGAATTCTTTCAGCTCAAAAATATTGAGCTAAACTTGATCAATTTTAACAATATGGATTCATATCGAGATAATAAAAGATCTGTTGAATTCGGACTTGTGAATTATTATTTTTAATTTTAATTTAAAATTACTCATTTTTTCGATTAAAATAAAATATTTAATACTTATTTAAACGTTTGAATTTTTGGAGCTATCCATGTAATAATCTTTCACGCGTTAACACAAATAAAATCAAACTAATATTTTTATCTCTAAATAAGAAACGACTTTCTGCTGGATGAATATTACTTAGCATCACTGACATTGATTTTAATTAATAACTATTCGCAATTTCTCAACTTAACAATAATGAAATGACATTTTTCAAATTTATAAAGTTTTATTTAAATTTTGTTGCTAGAGAAATTCAAAAATCCATTCTCAATATAGGATAATTGGGCACTTGTGCAACTTTAACCTTTAATAAGTTTAGATATTCAAATGATAGAATCACATTATAAACAGCATATAAAAGCTTATTAAATGTACTAAAACAAAATTAACTGCTAGTTTTCATTTTGCGAGTAATTCATTTCTTTCGTTGTTAACTATTTCTGATGATTAAAGAATATGAAAATAAATTAAGAAAAAAAATCTTTATGAATTAAGCTTTTATATGCCATTTATAGTATATTTCTATCATATATATATCCATAGTTATTAAAGTTTTAAATTGGACTAGGACTTAATAATCACCCTTTATAATAAGATTAATTAATTCGTCGGTTGAATAACATAAGATTTGGGAGATATACATTTAAATCAAGAGATGATTAAATCAGAAAATTATATAAAACTCGAATAAGAAGAAAAAAAAGGAAGATAAATTCAAAAAATTAATTGGCAAAAACATTAATTTCTTTACTTTATTTTAATGAATACAAATTTGCATAGTAAGTGATAAGAATGGAATAAAAACAATGTTTACAAACTGAAACAAAGGCCTACATCCATAATTTAAAAGAAAATGAATTCAACTTTCTTCTAAGTAAATTTTTCAAAGTAAAAAAAAAAAAAAGTTGAAAAAAAATATAAAAAAANTTAAAATGTCTGATTTACGGACTAATTTATTCTGTCAGCTTTAGAAAATGAAAATTGAAATTATTTCTCTCTTAAAACATGAAATGAGAGCAGTAGAATCGCGCATCAACTCTAGAGATTAATTAGCAAAAAGGAAAAAAAATGTAATTGTATTTCGCTTAAATAAAATTAATTGTGAATGCATACATGACTTAATGAAACATAGAATCTTATAATTTAATTAAGTTCTTTAATTATAGCGTACAGGAAAATTTTACCGATTGCTTTGCTCTTTCTTGTGCAATTCGATAAGGTACAGAATAAATTGAGATTTTAAAGGCAACATTTCATACAAAAAAAAGAACAAGTTTGCTTTTTTTTTGGTTTTTTTTTTTGAGAAAAACGCTCGTACTTCATTCAACATAACGATACACTTCTACTGTTACTATGGATACACGTGTCGTGACGTCACACACAGCACGAAGTTTTTTGAGGGGCGGAGAGGGCCGAGAATGAGTTGCTTTACCTCACACAGCTGAAATCTTTCTCACACCCAATCGGTTTAATATAGTTTTGCTGTTGTGTTTGATTTGCTATGATGTTACTCTATATATAAGATTTTTCTTCCCCTTTATACATTTGTTTCATGTTTTCATTTCATCTCTTACTGTTTGTTTTTTGTTTGTTTGTAATAATAAAAAAATACACAGTATATATATATATATCCTCCTGTCCCTTTTCTAAAGTTTGAGTTCTAGTTTATCTACTTTAAAATTGTCATCTTACAATTTTTATAAATATAAATAAATTATACAACAACAAATAAAATTTACCTTATATTCTCTTATAAAAGACCTTATACCGATCTACTGATAGACGTTTAAGCTAAGATAGAATTTAATGTTTATCTATGGATGATGTATTCCCAATCAAACGTAGGATTAGAGTATCTACGAGATCTTTAAAGTTCCTTGACCTCAGCATCTCCATAGAGAAATTCTTCAAGCAAGGACTCTGTCCTATTAAATTCCTTGCCTAACATTTCTCATTATGACATTCTTTCTAAACGCCTCTCCATTATCAAATTGTTCTGAAAAAGAATTTACCCAACTAATAATGAAATTTGTATAATCAAGTCATAATAATAATAATAATAAGTTTCGTTTGATCCTATTTCGAAAATTTTTTCCTTATTAGAGACTTTCAAAACTTTGCATGTTCCCTAACTTTCTTGTCGTTTTTTAAAAGTTCGTCAGCCCAATTTTCTTGTCGTCTTTTAAAATACATTTTTCCAATCTTATTGCCATTTTTTCAAATATATTACAATTATTTTTGAAAAATATATTCCTCTAAGTTTATTGTTATGTTTGGATATTCATTAATCTTTCTATCACGTTTTATTATATAGTATATTATTCCGAAATAATGTTGGATAAATATATTAAAACATGGTAGGAATATTATGAATATATTCCTCCAATATTCTAATTTTTTAGTATATATTCTTTCAATTTTCTTGACTTTTTTGTGTGTTTCCTTAATAATCTTATCAGTTTTTGAATATACTCCTCTAATTTTGTTGTTATTATTGAAATTCTTCTGAAATGATAAGAAAATTGAAGAAAGGAGTCTTCAATTTTCTTATCATTTCAGGAAAATTAAAAATAATACAATTACTTTTTTATTTGAATTATAATTAAAGTTCTAATATGTTTTCGTATATCTTTTAAAATTTTTGTTAATATTTGGTCTATATTTCTTCAATGATCTTGCCATATTTTAGTATATATTCCTCCAACTTTCTTATTATTTTTCAAACATATTCTTCTGTCTTGTCTTTTTGGAAGAAATTTTGAGGAATTTATCATTTCCTGAAACACACTCATTCAATTTTTATTCTTATCTCTTAAAAAACTCAACCTATTCTATCAATTTTGTGACTAAGAAAAAAATATTAACGTTTTAAAATATAAATATACAAAAAATATAGTCGAAATTATAAATTCGCTTAAGAAACCTTCCAAAAACATCAGTTTCCTTTCTTAAATTTATTAGATTCATAAAGAAAATATTAAGAATTAATTAAAGATAATTAGTTATGCACATATGAATTTACAGATAAAAATGATTAAATTGTGCTAATGTCACGCAACTTCTAAAAAAATTTCCTGTTTTTAATGAAGTACGGATATAGGACTATTTGGAAAATTGCCATCTTTGACTAACTCATGAAATTTATAAAATGTAATTTAGAAAATTAACTTTTATTATTTCTTTTAATTTCTCTTTCTTTTTTAAATCATTAATATAATATTCATAAAATCTATTTATCTTCCATTGAAGAATATATTATCACGTAAAATATATTTTATAAAATCTTAATTTTATTTTTTTGTTTTCAGACAAAAAAAAGTCCCTTACATGAAGTTTTTATAAATTCGAACTTATTCCCAAGTTTTAAATGTTTCATTTCGTTTACATATTTCTATATTTATTTAAATTATTTCTTTCAAAATATTGATTTATGAAATTGAAATTCTATTTTATTTTTTTAAGAAATAGAAATTGACATTTTAGCAAAAATTCAATTTAAAACAAAAAATAAAAAATAATGTATATTTCGTAACAATAAAATTGAATTTTTGTATGAATAACAATTAAGAAAAAAGGCAATTGATATTTTAAATTTAATTATAATTAAAATTCAAATTTAAACTTAATTAATTTTATCGTTATTTTTTTAAAATAAAATTTAAAAACATGCCGTTTATTTTTAAAAATCTGTAGATAATTATAACGTATTATATAGTGATTTTTTAATAAATATACAATACTATAAATGAGAAATATATCAAGAAAATAATATATATTTTAATAATGTATAAATCTATTTTATATAAACTTATAACAGAATAAATTGAGATTTTAAAGGCAACATTTCATACAAAAAAAAGAACAAGTTTGCTTTTTTTTTTTGGTTTTTTTTTTTAGAAAAACGCTCGTACTTCATTCAACATAACGATACACTTCTACTGTTACTATGGATACACGTGTCGTGACGTCACACACAGCACGAAGTTTTTTGAGGGGCGGAGAGGGCCGAGAATGAGTTGCTTTACCTCACACAGCTGAAATCTTTCTCACACCCAATCGGTTTAATATAGTTTTGCTGTTGTGTTTGATTTGCTATGNAAATGTATCACGGTTATAAATAAATTAAGATAAATGAAAAATATCGCGAAAATGATTTTATTTTTGTAAATAAAATAGAATAGAATAAAATAAAAAAATAAATACATCAGAGAAAATTCATTTAAATATTAATTATTCATTAATTTTTTAAAAGACAAAATAATAGAAAAATTACGCGTGAACTGCATATTGAGGGACGAAGATTCTTGTAATAAATTAGAGGAATATTAAGGTTAAATATATAAATAAGGTAGCAGGAATTAGAGTAAAAAAATTACAGGTTATAAGAGGGAAAAAATACTATAAATAATAATAAACAAATACACGAGCTGAATAACATATAAGGATTTTTACAGCTTAGTGAAGTTTTTAATATAAAATCTAAGTTGCATACACTTAAAAATTACATGTAGAAGTAAGACTAAGAAAGAATGAATCGATCTTTTCAAACTTTTAAATAAAATCTTGATTTTGTTTTCTGTTTATATCACACCATTAGACATACTTAAATCAAAACTCTCATAAAAATCAAACTATCCATTCAATAAAGCTATAACTGAGGGTATTTCCATTAAATAGGATGAAGCTAACTCTTGATCGGATTTCAGAAGATTCCGTCATTTAAGTCTCCAAGATCCATTAACGCTGTTTTGGACACAAAACGATCGGAAATTGGAGAATGGAAAAACGTGTGTTGAAGATTAATAAACTAATCAATATATTAGAATAATAACCTCACTCTTTTATCGCTCTGATGGAAAAATTTGCTTTTCTTTTATTGATGAGGTCGGTAAACAAGAAAAATCTCTCGGAATTCACTTCATTGTCTGATTATCAAAATA